AGGCCCGGGCGGACGCGCCCCAGGGTACGCGCGGCCTGGTTTGGGAAGCTCCGAGTGCGCATGCGCCCTCTGAGAGGAAGACGGGCGGGAGGAAGCGTCCATTGCGCAGACGCAATGAGGCGTTCAGGCTTTGTGGCGCAATTCTGAGGGCTTGAAGAGGCCACCTGTTGCCCCTTGAGCTGGTGTATACAGGAGAGTGTAAGAAAGTCCACGTAACGATGTGGTGTGAGGGGTCCCCCTTACGGTTTTAGGAACCTGAAAGGGAGACCAGTCCCGTGTCAAGAGTGTCTCTTTTTTTTTGCAATAAGGCCAGTTTGGAAGACTTGTGGTGATGCTTGGGTTCGATTTTTTTCTTTTTAAGGCTGTTTATCTCTTTTTGTTTTCTAGAAGGTTTTGAGTGACCATCTTTCCCCGTGCTGATTTAAAAGACTTTTCCCCTGGCCTGTAATCCTGAGAAGTAGAAAACCTTGTGTGGTAAATGTAGGGAAGAATTGGATACATCAGAGTTCTGATGACAGGTGTCCACTGGTCAGAAAAACTGAATGCTGGTCTTGCCGTGTGAGCATGGTCTTACTGAAGGATGGGACGTTTCACTTAGTGATATGTAGGAAGAGCTTTGGGTGTTGTTTTCCTTTGGAGCTAATCTGCTGCTTTGTAGATCTGATTGTCCAACTTTACTGCCGTTTAGAGCTTCCAGAATTGATGTACATCTCCTTAGAACTATTAAGAATTGGAAGCAAGGGTGCAGTGGCTCATACCTTTAATCCCAGCAGAGACAGGGAGACAGACAGAATAGGTGTGCTTCAGTAGTGTAGAGCCTTTGCCTAGCATTTGCACGACCTGGGTGTTCCCAGCACCACAAGAGAAAATTTGTTCCTTGTATTTACATTCTCTAGCAAGTTTTCCCAGGAAAAAAGAATATAAATGTGAAGTGTTCATTAACTTCTCTGACAGGACCAGATACCTTTATGTCTGCTTGTATTCCTCTCTGACCTCTGAAGCTCCTTTCTTTTTAAATTTTAGGTGGATTTCTGTTTTAGTCTTAATTGTCATGAACTGCCTGTTGGTAGTCACTCTCATGGTTCGTGTTTCCTCCTGATGGGCTCTGTCTGTCTTTAGACTTCCCAAGTAAGAAGAGGAAGAGGAGCCGGTGGAACCAAGACACAATGGAACAAAAGACAGTGATTCCAGGCATGCCCACGGTTATCCCCCCTGGACTGACTCGGGAACAAGAAAGAGCTTATATAGGTAAATACACGTTCTGCATCCAGGTGCATCTTCAAATTGTGACTGCTTATTCTGAGGACAAATCTATTGAAAGTCTGAGGTTTTAGTTTTGGGACAAGGTGTGATCAGGTGTGCTTTTTATAGCTTTGGTGTAAACTGTGATTTGCATGGCCAGTCCTGGATTTGTAACTTGTTTGGGCCTGCTCTCAGCAGCACATAGGCCTTACTAAGCAGCCCACTTCTCAGCTGCTCTTGCTCATTGATGAGGTGCATGCTTATCTGCCTCTCTGGACAGGCCCCAGTGGAGAACACTGCAGGTATTTGTAAACCAGGTGCCTTTTTTGTAACATGGCCTTTCATCATAATGTCATGGTTCCCTTTCCCTAAAATGTGGTTTTGCTTTTTTTTATAGGTTACAAAACAGTTCAAACAAAAAGTGGCTCTGAAAGTATTTACAGCTCACCCATTTTTACTGTTTTGTTGAATTTAATCCTTCCCTTCAGCATCTTGTTTGGTCTTTAGAGAGCTGTCTTAAAAATAAAAGCTCTTAGCCCGTTGGTGGTACACGCCTTTAAGCCCAGCACTCAGCAGGCAGAGACAGGAGGGTCTCTGTGAGTTCAAGGCCAGCCTGATCTACTGAGCAAGTTCCAGGACAGGCTCCAAAACTACAGAGAAACCCTGTCTCAAAAATAAATAAATAAATAAATAAATAAATAATGAAGGCTCTTGTAAAACCACGAAAAAACTCTACTGGGAAGGGTTTACTGTTTGATTTGAAATGAGGTGGTGGCAGGATTTTAAAAATTTAAGTTGAATTGAAATTAAACCTCAAAATTACTTAGAAACCAAGGTCATTCATACAAATTATATATGTCTGTCCAGCTGTCTTAAAAAGTACACTTGATAAACATTTTCAACTAACCAAATAAACATCCTCTTTGGGCAGAAACCTAGTGGGTCCATGAAGCTGTGACCTTCACAAACATAGCTTCAGGGCCAATGTGGTCTAAATCTGGAGGGTCTTCATTTCCTGGTTTTTAGATTGCTGAGAATTTTAAGGCGTTGGAATTGTCTTCTTGTCACAGTACTACTAATACTACTTTTTCTCACTGTTGCTGTTTACTCTTATCCAACTCTTAGGTGTCATTAGACCAGTGTTGGACCTTCCAACCTTATAAAATGCCCCTAATGGTATCACAGCCCAAGAACGTAGAATCTGAGAAACACTTAATACTTTACAACTCTCTTTTCCTCTGGAGGCCCAGTTAATGCACTAAGCCCTTAAAGACTATTTAATTTACATCTTTCATCAAAGTAGGTAGACTCAGAGTTAGAGGCTAGTATAAGTTCTTTGCTTCATGGGAGATAATAGCCTTTTCTGGTTTATTTCGTTCTGGGTATTCAAGTTAGATCCTATTGTAGTTTCTTTTGTCTGAAGTTCTTGAGCTTAATGTCTTACTGTAAAGCTAGAACTTGTTTGGAGTAAAGGAGTTTGGAGGGCAACTGTGTCCCATGGCGTACACTTGTCCAGATGTCCTAAGGATCCTCTCGCTATTCAGTTTACTTTCTTTCTTTTCTTTTTTCTTTTTTTTTTTCCTTCAGAGACAGGGTTTCTTTGTGGTTTTGGAGGCTGTCCTGGAATTAGCTCTTATAGACCAGGCTGGTCTTGAACTCACAGATCCTCCTGCTTCTGCCTCCTGGGTGCTGGGACTAAAAGCGTGCGTCACCACTGCCCAGCTGATAATTCTAATTTTAAAGTATGTCTCACAGGGCTATACAACATCCCCATGCTGAAAACACTGAGTAAAAGTAAACTGAAGCTGGGCGTTGGTGGCCCACGCCTTTAGTCCCTGCACTTGGGATGCCGGTGCATCTTTTGAGGCCAGAGAGTTACAGGAAGGACAGGGCTGCAAAGAGAAACTCTGTCTTAAGAACAATTATCTGTAGTTAGGTATGCATTAATCCTAATTATAAGTAAGCTGTGCCCTTCCTACCTGCTCAGAAACCTGGGGTATGATAAAGATACAGGATAGGGCCATGATCTTTTAGCCAGGCATAGCGCACGCCTTTAATCCCAGCACTGGGGAGGAGAGGCAGGAGGATCTCTGTGAGTTCGAGGCCAGCCTAGTCTCCAGAGCCAGTGCCAGGATAGCTCCAAAGCTACACAGAGAAACCCTGTCTCAAAAAACCAAAAAAAAAAAAAGATAGGCTAGGTAGTTACATACACAACATATTGAAGAATCCACTCTGTTATCCCGCTGTGTTACATTTCCCATGAGTTACTAGAAGCTTTTAGTGAAATCCTCATCTTATGTCATTTCAATGCCACATGCATTCTCTTTGACCCTCATTTTCCATCTTTTACACACCTCCCTACATCAGTAGCTGGTCTGAAAGTAAACTAAGCCAGGTGTAGTAGTAGCACATGCCTTTTACCTAATCACTGGGGAGGCAGGGACAGGTGATCTTTGAGTTCTAGGCCAGCTTGGTCTACATAGGGAGTTACAAGACAGCTAGGGCTGTTTTTGAGACCCTGTCTCAAAACCAAAAACAAACCTGGCAGTTGTGGCACACACCTTTAATCCCAGTGCTCTGGAGGCTGAGGCAAGTGAATCTCTTAAGTTGAAGGGCCAGCTTGATCTACAGAGCAAGTTCCAGGACAGCCAGGGCTACACAGAGAAACCCTGTCTCAAAACAAAAAAGCAAAGATAAAACAAAGACTTACAGAAACTTACTTAGGCCTACTGGTTTATAAAGAAAGGTATGTGGTTTGTTCAGTATTTTAAGTAAAAACTGCAGGTATTGGGGGACTCAGTACAAGTCTGCTTATACAGAAAGTATACGTATGAATTTGTAAAATGTTGAATTGGTTATTAAATGCTTGCTTAAAGAGAGTTTCAAACCTGGTCTTAATGAAAATGGTCTTTGTTCAAATGCTATTTTTTTGTTGTCCCATATTGAGTAGTTTTGGGCTGTGTTTAATATTTATTGAAGAAATAGAAACTCAAGTCTTGCCCTGAGTTTGGTGGGAACCAGGTACTGATGATAACTTAAATGGTGTTGGTTCAGGGTGCCAGTTGTAAGCAAGTGTTGGTGGGGAAGGGAAGAGGTGAATATTTACCTCCTGATAATTGCAATTGTAAGCTGTAGTGAACAGTCTTAACTGCTAACCCCTCTTCCAACAAACTGTTTGCTTCCTTAAGTGATAACCATTTTGAAGTGAAAATTAACTGTAGATGTAAATGGACTCCTGCTGCTAGGTGGTTGGGGGTTTTTGCCTCAGTGTGTCACTGATCAGTCATCCCTTTCAAAGTCTCCGAGTTCTTCATGCTTGTTATTGAGATTTGAGATGTTTTTTGGTAACATTGTCTTTTTTCCATCCTTTTTTTTCTTTCCTAACCTGGTTTCTTCCAGTGCAACTACAGATAGAAGACCTGACTCGTAAACTGCGCACAGGAGACCTGGGCATCCCCCCTAACCCTGAGGACAGGTTGGGAAACAGTTTTAACCAGCTGACAGTAACGCTTTTACCTTTTTCTCAATATGTTTTTACTGGTGGCAACATATTGTGTCAGTTCAATAAAATCCTAGTTAAGACGACTGGTATTCTGACCAGGGTTTAGTAAAATGTATGCTCAGTCAACAGTTAGAAAAGTTGGAATGGTATTTAATGGGAGAATAAGTTAAAGGAAAATGGACAACTGGTTTCTAATTGGTAAGCATGTAGATTGTAACCTGAAAATTTACCCACCCCTAGGGACAGAGAGGGGTGGCCATTAACCTGCCTTTTCACTGGCTGCTTTGGCTGAAAGCACAGGGGGAAGTTTTTCTCATGGTATATTATGCAGGGATTTGAGAGTATTTTTAACCATCACTGAATTTGAGCAGGCCAAGCTTGTTGAAGTCTTACCTGCTTGTGGTTTTGAGATTGTTTTAAAATCAGGAGATTTCTAACCAATTTCCTTCATTGCCAATTAATTTTCAGCCTTGGCCATTGCCTGCGGGTTTTGGGAGGGAAAGGCAAGCAACCAACCCCTAAATTACTTTTTCCTTTTTTAAAGGGAATGTGGGCCTCAAACAGCTGTGGTCATGCCATTTCAGTTTATAATTTCTCTCGCCTCTGAAAAGTTAAAGTTCATGTGAGAGAGGAACTTTTTAAGTGGAATTGTATTGGCTGATAGACCTTTGAACAGCTAATGTCTGGTCACTTAATTGACAGTGAACTTCCACTGAAATCCTTCTTAGTGCATGTAGTATAGTTGAAAAGATTGCTTTGAAAGTGTTTCTGGCTTTTGTTATCCTGGTAATGGCTTTAGAAGTTGCACACAGTTCTGCTGCCCCTTGCCATGAAACAAATGAACTTAATGATGTCTCCATATTCATCTTGTGCCTATCAAGTTTGTTATTTTTTTAACAAGTAGATTTTGATTGGAAAGTTGTATTTTATATTTATTTTTTGATTTGAAGATTTTTATTTTTTAATTTTTTAAAGATTTACATTGTAGGTTATAGACCACAACTGTTTAGTGCCTTTTTGGCCTTTTCCCCTTTAATGGTATGTCTACAGGTTACCAGGCAATTCCTCCAAAGGTTGAGTTTTTAACAAACCTTGTTTGCTTCCTGGAGAACTGGGATTAGAGTGCAGTTGATGTCTCTGATGCCTCTTCTAGGTGAAGAAGTCCGGCCAGTCTAACCTCTAGATTGCTAGCTTTTGCTTTTCACTTCCACAGTTTGGGAAGAGGTTAAATGGTTATGAAGTTTAAGCCTTTAAAAGGCCAGTTTGGTTCTGGTACAATTTGGTATTTAGCCAGAAACATTTCGATTCTAGATAGCAAATGGGGTGGGCATGCTAGAAATGAGTAAAACCAGAGCAGGGATTTTCCTCCTTGTATATATGCTCAATTTTGAAAGAGGCCCTAATGCCTGATTGCTTTTGCTTTTAAGCCCAGGTTGGAGGGAAATACATGAGTTTCTTACCTTACTAAGATGATTTCTTAAGAAGTTGTATTTCAAAATTAAGCCACTTTCTGCTATTTTGATGTTGCTTAACTTGCACAATTAAAATGTTTTAAGATCTGTTGTAGATTTAAATGTGTAAGATGATAGTCTAATGAGCTGGGGATATTTGCTTGTGTTCACTATGGTTGGATTGTGCTAACAGTTCATACAGATGCTAGAAACGGAGGTGTCATTTAGCCGTCATTAGCCATGAACAAACCTGACCTTTTATTCCATCGTGTGTGTAACCTGGTATGACATGGTTCCCTTTAGGCTGAAGACAGTGGGAGCAGCCGAATTCAGTTCTTGCTCTCCAACTAGGCACAATTCTCTCAACTAAACCAAGGGTGTAGGAGTCGGGACTACTTTTCAGGATGTTTTTTAAAATAACCTGATCCACATGGTCTCTTCCCTTCTTGCAGCTGCTACTAAATTTTCATACAGAGTATCAAGCTATGGTCCTTTTTGTAATCTTAACTCAGAATTCTAGGAGTTTAACTTCTCTTTTTTGTTACCGCAAAATCTAGCTGTGGTAAACTGACCATTTTATCATTACATATATATATATATATATAATATTTTTTATTTTTATTTTTTACTTGTAGCGTCAGCATTTTACTCCTTAAAAATGAGAGAGAAATTTCTGCTTTCTGGACTTGTAAACTCTGATGGAGAATTGTAGATCCCCCTTGCTGTTGGCAGGTTCAGACCCTAGACAAGTGTTTGACCAAATCTGCATTTGCAGCCTCTTGCAGAAGCTGCCTTAGCACTTTTAACGGTTTTCTCTACCCAGACTCCCCACCTCGAACAGCCAGCCAGGCCATTGAAGGAAAAGCAGAGACGAAGCCTTGCACCATTTCTCTCCATTGTGGGGGCTAAGTAGCTGTAATAGCTTGAGTCCCAGCTGCTTTGGGTGAACGAGCTTGTGTTCACTATGTGGCAGGGGTACAGATGCTCTTCCTAATAAGACAGTTCACCTATACTCATGTTTCTGTGGTTCATCAAGTTGGGTTATAAATTTTTTCAAATGAAAGGATCATTTGGCAAGAAGCCTCCAGAGGATGATACTGTTCTTGCCAGTAAAGGTCCAAAGGTTTCCCTTTAATGGACCCTTCCTCAGTCAATTTTAGAAGTGAAGGAATTTTTCCTTTTCTCACATATACCCTACATTGCTTAATGTTAAGTCAGATTCCATCTCCCCCATTCCACACGATCTTGAATAGCACACGTTATGGTCGGTTCCTCCGAAGAGTTTTGTTAGGATCTGAGAGGCAGAGGGCTGGGGAGACTTGTTATAGTCCATACATATGGGAGCAAGGGGAATTGGGGGCAGAGCAGTAATGGGGATCTGTCTCCCACAGGTCCCCTTCCCCTGAGCCAATCTACAACAGTGAGGGGAAGCGGCTTAATACTCGAGAGTTCCGTACACGCAAAAAGCTTGAAGAGGAGCGACACACCCTCATCACAGAGATGGTCGCCCTCAACCCAGACTTTAAACCACCTGCAGATTACAAGTAAGCAGAGTCACAGGTGGTTTGGGACAAGGGCACATTCGGATCATACGTGATCTGCTGGGACGATTCTGGCTTACTACTTACCTTTTGGCCATATTATCCTTAATTCTCACATGGTATATTCTTGATTAATTGTGTACCACCTCCCAGAAATTGAAATGGTGATGGTCTTTTCTTTCTCAGGCCTCCAGCAACACGTGTGAGCGATAAAGTAATGATTCCCCAAGATGAGTATCCAGAAATCAATTTTGTGGGTCTCTTAATTGGGCCCAGGTGAGTAATTACTAGTCCATGGCACTCATTGACTTATCTTCAAGGTTTGAGATTTTTATTGTGTTTGGGTTTTGGTGTGATGTTTTGGCTGAATTATGCCTTAAATTTGATCTACACACACACACCCCCCTCCATTTTCTGTGGTGAAGTAAAATCCTGAAATGCTGACCTTAATGTGGTATTCTTTTTTGGTTTTTGGAGGCTGTCCTGGAACTAGCTCTTGTAGACCAGGCTGGTCTCTAACTCATAGAGATCCCCTGCCTCTGCCTCCTGAGTGCTGAGATTAAAAGCATGCGTCACGAACACCCAGCTTTAATGTGGAGTCCTTGGTGGGGAAATCTTGGTGCTCTGCATTTTGCAGTTTGCTACCAATGACTACTCAGCCCAGTGTTTTTAATCTGAAATAAGAATTTGCACTGAATGTCTAACACTCTTTTCTGCTTTTCAGAGGGAACACCCTGAAGAACATTGAGAAGGAATGCAATGCCAAGATCATGATACGGGGGAAAGGATCTGTGAAAGAAGGGAAAGTTGGGCGCAAAGATGGTCAGATGTTGCCCGGAGAGGATGAACCTCTTCATGCTCTGGTCACTGCCAATACAATGGAGAATGTCAAAAAGGCAGTAGAACAGGTGTGTGGTGAGCCCAGGAGGAGGCTTCTTGCTGGAAACCTAGGTGATGGCCCCAGGCGCTTGACAACTAACTGCTGGTGTTTCTTAATAGATCAGAAACATCCTGAAGCAGGGTATTGAGACCCCAGAAGACCAGAATGATCTACGGAAGATGCAGCTTCGAGAGTTGGCTCGCTTGAATGGCACTCTACGGGAAGATGATAACAGGTCAGTGATAATGTTGAGAAGACTTCCTAGAAATCTCAAGAACATTTTGAAGTGGAAAGGTGGTCTCTACAGGTCTTTGAATTGATCTCTCTACCTCAACAGGATCTTAAGACCTTGGCAGAGCTCAGAAACACGCAGCATTACCAATACTACTGTGTGTACCAAGTGTGGAGGGGCCGGCCATATTGCTTCCGATTGCAAATTTCAGAGGTGAGATCTGGCTGCTGTTGAAATGGCTCCCTAGCAGCCCAGTGGTCTTCAGGATTCTCCTTTCCATACTGGCTGTGGTTAGTCTTACTAAAGCAGCATCCTTTCTGTGGATGTGGCTGGGTGGTGTGAATTTTAAACTTAAGGGTCTTGAGTAGAAGAAACTTGTAGAGCCTCCTGTTGTCTTGTCCAGAAGCTTACACTCTGGCTATGTATCTGTTGGGTACAATATTAATGAGTGTTCACTGCTTAAGATTTGTTAAGACCAGTGGGTTTTATTTCCATATGGCCCTTTTTAGGGGGAGATGGATATAGTTTGTTTTTCTAGGTCTTGCATAAAAATTCCTTTTCTCTCAAACAGGGAAGATAGAGGTAGAATTTTTGTATTTTTTAGACTGGGTTTTTCTTATGCATGTATGTCTATACTGTAGTGGTTGTGGAGATTAGAAGAGATTTTTAGATCCCTTACTTAGATCTGAAGTTAGGGGCAGTTGTGAGCTGCCATGTAGGTATTGGAAATTGAACCCAGGTTCTTTGCAATAGCAGTAAGTGCTCTTAACCCATCTCTCCAGCCCATGGAGGTAGGGTTTGGTAAAACATGAGAGGTGAGGGTCTGGAATGGTGGTTGGTCACTTCTAACCTAGGGCCTGGACTGTGGCTGACAGTGGAGAACCATTTCCAGTGAAGGGCTAGAAAAGAGGGCAACATCCTTGATTGAAATAGAGCTTTCTTGATTATTTTCTCCTTTCTTTGTGTTTCCAACCCTACCTTAGGCCTGGCGACCCTCAGTCAGCCCAGGATAAAGCACGAATGGATAAAGAATATTTGTCTCTTATGGCTGAGCTAGGGGAAGCTCCTGTCCCTGCATCTGTGGGCTCCACCTCTGGACCTGCCACCACACCCCTGGCCAGTGCACCAAGACCTGCTGCTCCTGCCAGCAACCCACCACCACCGGTGAGCCCTGGGACAATTCTCTGGTCTAGCTCCCCCATTCTCTTCTGCAAAGAGACTAGGAGCTTTGGCCAAAGGTCTGGGGTAAAGCTTAGAGGTGAATGTAGCTGGCAACATTGTTCTTCTGGGATGTCAGGCCTTTGTGGGGTCTCACTGTGGGAGAATCCTGTGCTTGTGTTCTGGTCTCGGGACATAGTCAGAAGAACAATGTTGCCACCAGGGGGAGCAGGCATGGACATTGGCAGGAAATGCTCTCATGTAGTCTCTTATGTCTACAACGCAGAGTCGCCCACCCTGGATGAATTCTGGTCCTTCAGAGAATCGGCCCTACCATGGCATGCATGGAGGTGGTCCTGGTGGGCCTGGAGGTGGGCCCCACAGCTTCCCACACCCATTACCCAGCCTGACAGGTGGGCATGGTGGACATCCCATGCAGCACAACCCAAATGGACCACCACCACCTTGGATGCAGCCACCACCACCACCGATGAACCAGGGCCCCCACCCACCCGGACACCATGGCCCTCCTCCAATGGGTAAGTAAGTGTCAGACCAGAAACCTTGGGGTTTGTGGGGGATGGATAGGCTCATACCAAGTGACTCTGAGCTGTAAGCAATGCTGAATGGCTAGCCAGTGCTCTGAATCATGCTGAGGCCTCGGCTTATAGAGTACCTTCTATGTGGGAAGGCTTACACATTGTTACAGCAGAACTTTTGGGAGGTTAAAGACTCAAAGCTTTGTAACTGAGAAAGCTATTGGGGGTGTCTTGCCTGGCCAGTTCAAATGTCCTGCTAAGTCCCTGCTCTTTCCTTCCATCAAGATCAGTACCTGGGAAGTACGCCTGTGGGCTCTGGGGTCTATCGCCTGCATCAAGGAAAAGGTAATGCTATTTACTCGGGATTTCTGTCTAAGGCTAAAAGTAAATGGAGGCTCTAGCCTGGGTCTCCAATTCTCTAAAGCCTAACTCATGTTTGCCTACAGGTATGATGCCGCCACCGCCTATGGGCATGATGCCGCCGCCTCCGCCACCTCCCAGTGGGCAGCCCCCGCCTCCTCCCTCTGGTCCTCTTCCTCCATGGCAGCAGCAGCAGCAGCAGCCTCCACCACCCCCTCCGCCCAGCAGCAGTATGGCTTCCAGCACCCCCTTGCCATGGCAGCAAAGTGAGTGGAATATTTTGGGCTTTTGGGGGTGGGTGGGATGTGGGCTGGGGCTGAGAGGAAAAAAAAACCTAATATCTTACATGGGCTGGAGACACCTTGGGTGAAGAGACTATGGTCTCAGCAAAGGCAGTGGGGTGGAAAGCCAGGCTACTTGGCCCAAAGGAATGTCTTGGGGAGGAGAGCTGATGTTTGGTGTGGTTGTGTTTGGGAGACACTTGGGAGGTCTGGAGGGGAGCCTGCTATTGTAGATAGAGCACTCGAAGTCCAGGCTAAGCTGCTGAATGAGCTGCTGGTTTGGCCGTGCCTTGTGCGCGGAGTCATTGGGATGGTGCATGCATGTTCTGGAGGGGGCTGTGATTGGGCCTGAGAGACTGCAGAGACAAGGGGTCGGTCAGTGGGGAGAGAGCAGCTGTGGGCTTGAGGTTGAATGTGCCGTTCGGTGGTGGCGGCGGCTGGGCGGAGGGACATCAAAGCCGGTTCTTGTGTCTGGTACTTTCCCCTTAGCCCCTCCAGGGGTATTGGTGACAAAGGGTTTACTTTGTTAAGCCCAGAGAC